AGTTTTGTACTTCGGTATCTTGATACTTTAATTAAGTTGTGTAATATTAACTTGTGGTTGTAATTGGTGAATATGTTAAGTATATTTTGAATCTTTGATGATTTGTGGTTTGTTTTTTAATATTTTCATATAGGATATATATATATATATATATATATATATTTAATATATAAAACCGGGTCAGCGTAGTGACCCCGTGACCCCCCGGTTGAACCCATGACTCCATGACCCCTGACCTCGGCCGAGTCGATGGCCGGGCCGGGTTTTTAAACGCTGCTTTCGACCCTAGGTTTCCTTTCTTTTGTTTGAGATACATAATTCATTATTTAAAAAAAAAAAGGTGCACATAGACACAAAAACTTGGCGGCTTGTGCAGCGTTTTATGGTACAATTCGATATTAAATACTCATTGATTAAAACGCTTTTTAGCGTATATTCTCCCGGAATAAAAGAAATATTTTATTAATTACTGAGTGTACATATATTGTCAGGGGTTTGATTTTCTCATGTTAAATGAGAATCAATTTTCATGTTGTAGAGATAAAAAACATGTGGGATCTATGTGTTAGAAAAAATAATATGTAGGACCCGTGTCAGCACGAAAATCGAAGGGTGTGTAGGAAAATTTGAATTCTCATGTTAAATAAAAATTATAAAACCCATATTGTTATGTACATATATTTTACACCTTGTTAAATGGAGATAAAAGTTACACATATATATTAAGGGAAATAAGTTTCTGATATTACTTTAGATAACTTTGTCTAATGTTCATTAAAACAGCGTCGTTTTAGGTTGAAAAATTAAAAAATTAGAATGATAAAAACAATTATATCCCTGAAATAAATTAAAATTACAAAAACACCATGATTTCCGTTCCAAAACGACGTCGTTTCAATGAACATTAGATAAAGTTATCTAAAGTAATTTTAGAAAAAAACAAACCCATATATTAATAAAAGTTACACATTATTACAAAGAATTTAATATTTCTCATATTGTTATAAGAGATAAATTTATCTCTTATATATACATAAAAATATATGGGATATACGTTTTCTTTTTCTCTATCTTTGAAAAACATCAAATTATATTACAAATTAGTTAATAGTAAATTCAAAAAATGGATGTAAAACACCGTATTTGTGTATTTTGTTTAGAACATATGATCACAACGTGAAGTTTGAACTTTGAACCGCGATAAGAGGTCCCACGGATGTTATAGAAGGGAGGGACAATCAATGTCATCAATGGAGCAGCTAAGAGCTAGCCAATCCCACATATTCAAAAAAGAGTTTTGAGAAAGTGTCAATTTCTTAAAAGAAGGGAGAGAAGATGGGGACAAATTTTGGGACGCATGCATCCTGTTGCTTCCCTTGATTTTCCTAAGCACACATGAAATTGTAACTTCTGGTCCCATTCCACGACCTCTCTACAAAGCCCATTCTTCTATGGCTATCCTTCACATATCTCTTTCTTCAATCTATTTCTTTCTTTGACTATGTCAACCTTAAAAATAAAATAAAAAAATAGTTATCCCCTTCCAAATTAATAATAACAAAGTAAACCACTGGAAATATTCCTTTCCCCCCTCAGTTTTTTATTTCATTCTTTGAAATATAGGTAAGCACGTCCCATATTCTTCTAACGGTGATTTCTTAATGGATGATATTGATAGACACACACACACACACACACACACATATATATATATATATATATATATATATATGTTAGTGTTAGTTTAAAGATATTATTAATTGATAGAACGAGCAAATTAAAGTTGGACAACATGGGAAAGCGGTAGGTAATCAAATTTTAGTTATGTTGTTTCTTTCTAAGTGAAGATTATTGTGGGAAAAAAAAAAGTGGGGAAAAAGATAGGTAACAACTAGCTAGCAACTAGCAAGGGAGATTTGATTCGGGGAAGATAAAAATAGAGGCGAGAGATATAAAGAGAGAGAAAAAAGAAAGAGAAGGAGAGAATAGAAAGAAGAGGTAGCACACTTTTAAAAGGCCCATGTGGAGAGCATGTGGGGATCGCATTGTGCTCTTTTTCTGTAAGGCAATGCCAAATCCGAAGTGCCCGGGAATTAGAATTCCCGTGGGACCCGACGGACTCGTATAAGCAAGTTTTCCGGATCCTGCCAATTTTCTTTTCTTTTCCTCTTCTGTTCCTCCTAAGCACGACCCCAACTTTACCCTCTCTCCATCCTCTATCTATATTATTTATATTCATACATGCACACATGCATATGATTTGGTTACTTAATGCCAATAACTATGCTCTGTATACTGAATTTAAGTATACATATATGCGGTTGCATTTATATTTATTAGTCTCAACCAACCTGTTTATATCTATCAAATTTTAATACAATCACATATGCTTTCGTTTTTAGTTCATATGCATATAATTAGTATCACTACTCTATATGGTTATGTATGTATTTTATAATTCTTTTTTTTTTTTTTACTTTAAAGAAAAAGAAAGTTAATTGATGTAGACTTTCGTAGGCTCACTCATAAATAGAATGCTGGGCACCTTGACTGTCAACCTATAAAAGCATATTTATCACTTTCTAACCCCAACATTCTAGAAACATAGCAAATCAAATTACTGTGGCGGAAAGCTTAATTACCTTTCCCCTCGGTTGCTAGATTTATAACATAATAATTAATAAAAATAACGGCACATGAGATCTTTTTTAATTATGATTTGAGAACATGCCACATGCATACGAATTGTATGGTAGCCAAACACTAGTATACATGTCAACCAATCCCAAATGAAAAATGCGCATTGCATGCCAACTCCTAAGGCCGTGCTGTTGCTCTTTATTGCTATCTATCAAATCAATGAAGAGTCATCAATTTTCTTTTTCCTAATTGCCAGGGTACCGATGAAATGATATATCTTGGAACTATTAACGTTATTACAAACAGTATACAAACTTTCGAAAAATGACTGTACACTGTTCCTATCAAACAAGCTACATTAATTGTATAATGACGGTCCCATGTATTTATGCATGCGATGGTTGGGACTTAAGGAAATAAAGCAAATATTTTACTTTCTCGATTACTTGCGAAATGAGTAAGTAGAATAAATATTTCAAAAATTTTACCATTCAAATGAGTTTTATTTTGAAACACGCACTAATTTTGAGCATATCATTTAATTTACTCTATCAACATTTTAAGTGATAGAAATATATAATATAAAGTTATTCACTGTTTTTATCTAATAATTTAAACTTTTAGAAGAATTGATTGTTTGATATGGTATTAAAGACTGACATCAAGTGATATAATGTTCGATTATTGCCATTCTCATTCTTCTAATAAAAATTATAAAATTTCAACACTAAGTAAGTGTGCTCGAGTATGGTCTATCCTTTTAAGTCCCAAGAATTATTATGTAAGGAAATATGTTAAAAATATAATATAAAATTATTTATTCGTCTTTACCTATAAAGTACATAACACATGAGACAATTTGAGAAATACAAAACACGCACATAACCTTTAATCCAGATTATCGGACACATCCTTAATTTCGTAAAAAAATGTTTGTAAAATAAATTGCATGCTTTCATAACATTCAACTTTTCCCTTATTATAGCATCTTATGTAAGGAAATATGTTAAAATCTTTTTTTATATATAATTTAAGGGTTCGCTTTTTCTACAGTCAATGTAGATAACTTATCTACATTGAGCCCAAAACGACGTCGTTTTGGGACAGAAATTAAGATATTTTTGTAATTATAATTTATTTCAAGGTTATAATAGTATTTTTCATTTTATTTTTTTAATTTTTCAACTCAAAACGACGTCATTTTGGAAGCGAATGTAGATAACTTATCTACATTCATTTTAGAAACATTAAAGCCATAATTTAATATATATAACACATCATGATTATAGCATCTTTATATATATATATATATATATATATATATATATATATATACACACACACACGTTTCTCCTATTAGAGAATATAGCTATATCTCTTGCAATTCTAAAATGACGTCGTTTTAGGGTTTAAGATCGAGAATAAATGATATTTTAGTAAAATTTATAATACAAGAGGAAAATAAATTATACTCTTTATTTTTAATCCTAAAACAATATCATTTTGGGATTACGGGAGATAGAGTTTTCTATTGTACTGATAGGAGAAAAACTTTTCGTATATATATTTATTTTCGTGAGAACATCTGAGATATATATTTACCTCATCGATTATGATTATAATGCATCAAGAAATTCTTCCACAATCCAAGTATCCAAATTGAATTGTCATAGAACGTAATGATATCATGAAAAATAAAGTTGATATTTTGTGAATATATTACAAAAATAAAATTTTAAAATATAACGATGTAAATCTTGCATTGATTATATATTTTAATATGTAGAACACGTCATGATTAAAGCGTGTTATATTCACTTCATTAATTAATAAACTAAGAAAGTATTCCACAATCTAATAATATAAGTATCCAAATTGAATTTTCATAGAACTTATTATACCATGAGAAATAGAGTTCATATATATATTTTGGAGATATTAAAAACATAACGTACATGTTAAAAATGTAACCATGTAAATCAAGTCTGCAAAATACAAATACATCCCAGTTCATAACATGGTACTACAATCTTGCTCTCACGGAGTTCCCCCTCGCGGGCCATGGGCACATTGTTTCGAAGTGAGTCGTATTTAGTGAGTTTTGTTTGTATTCAAAACAAAGATACTGATGTTAGGTTTGCATTACACTAAGGTCACCTTTATTCTTCTTTACCACCAATCTAAATACATTGTTTTTCTTCATAATATAAAATTATTCTCTATGGTTTGGGTAGTGGGCCAGGGACTCCATGTGCCAGCATGTGCTGTGTCTTTCTCTCAAAGGCCCACCACTCTCTCTCACCTCTTTCTAGCACATAAATTCGTTATCCTGCACATTCTTCCTCTTCTCATACATCTCTTCTCTCTTTCTCTCCATCTCAGATCCTCATCATACATATACAACACTTTAGCTTAATTGGATCTGTAACACTTAACCACCATAATTTTTCTTTCTCCATCTTCTACTCTGTTTATAACAAGAAGAATTTGAGAAAGGTATGCCTTAATTTATTTATTTATTTTATTTTTTTCTAATTACATAATTCAGTTTCCTCGAGCTAGAAAGCCCTAGCTAGCATATATATCATTTTTTAACCTTTTTTTTTTTTTAACAGAATGCGAAATCTTAGCTCAGTCAAGCGAGAATTCCTCCGGAAATGGATAACGGGACTAGGAAAATATAGCTCTCAGAAGAAGAACATGAGCTTGTTGGAGAGAAAGAAAGCCATAAAGCTGTGTGCAGATTTAGCCATGGCTTCAACTAGAGACGAAACCACGCGCTGGAGCCGTGTCCTTATAGACAATGCTTCCAGAGACGACAGCAATAAGGTCTTCACTGAACACATGTTAGGTTCAACACAGCACCGCCAGAAGGTAAGGGAAAACTTCACGAATTCGTTGACGACGTCGACGTCGTCGTCACAGGTTTACAACAGCAGAATAAGGATAAGAAGTAGAAAGATCGTGAGAAGAAGCCGTACAGTACAGAGAACAAAAGAAAGGGTGACGGCGAGTTTTATTGCCAAGAGGTTGTTACAGAAGAGAACACGAAGACTCAAGAGTCTCTTACCAGGTGGTGAATTCATGGATGATGTGTCTTTGCTTGAAGAAACCCTAGATTATATACAATCCCTCCGAGCTCAAGTTGAAGTTATGGGATGTACTCTTGTCACTGCCTCCAAGCTCATCAAAATTCCATCGTAAATATTTCTATATAGATTATTATAATTAAATCCATAGCGATTATTAATTAGCTTCTTTATTATATTATATTTTTATTTTTGAAAATATTCCCCACTTCACACTTTCTCTTTGCAAGCTAGAAGTGATCGAGAAAAAGAAGCGCTTCCATATATACAATAAGGCAATGTACAGAGGAAAACATATATGTAAGTCAATCAAATTATGTTTTTACTTCCATCATGATGCTTGGAAGATATATATATTGATTAGCTTCACATATATGTATATATGTGTGCGTGTTTATCTTTGATTCGTCGAACTTTCTTTTTCTTTCATTGTGGATTTCATGAGTCGGTATGGATCATCATACCAAAGTGAGGAAATTGATAATACATGTCAACAAAATTGATGTAAACATGAAATCCAACAAGGTTGCTAATTAATATAGATACACTGTGCGGATTGTTTATATATGTTTAATTAACAAATTAAATCGTTACTCTTACTCATATATATACAAGCAATGATCAGGGGAAGAGAGAAAGAGAGGCAACTCTATATTACAAGTAAATCAATGTCATTTTCGATGTGGAGTATTCATTATTCAGGCTATGATGTTTTCTCTATAGCTGGTTTTAGTGAAGAAACATGATGAAGATTTTGCATTCTTGAGGCTTATAGGAAATGATTGTGTTAACATGCACATTTAACTAATGCAAGACCAAATTGAATTGAACACCCCTTTCCTGTAACATTATGACAAGGACGAGGTAGCTAAAGATGTGATTTTTTTGTTTACTCTCATATAGATATATGTTCGAAAACCAAGTAGCGGAGAGCCACCACAATTTTTTTCCCCTTGAACATATAAGGATGAGATTAGGAGAAAGAGTGGATGAAAGAGCATAACTTCTATTACGCATGGTCGAGAACTTCGTCTTTCACATTTCATTGTATACAAGCTATACTATATTAATGAAATATATATTATTTGTAATGCATGTAAAACAACTCGATGAAGAATTTTAGAATAAAATGAAGTTTGTGAACTTTTTTTTTTTATGTACACCCATAAGTCTTTTCCCGGAATGTCCTCTTAGATAAGGAACATCGGATGAGTTAAGCAACTCGGAGAAACCCTCTCCACTCCTTTTTGAAGTGAATCAGGAAGTCTGTCGTTCACATTTGATTTCATTAGACTCTGTCATTTTTTTATTTTTATTTTTAAATATTCCAATCAATTCATCATTTCGCAATTAGTTTGATTCAAGACGGATTCCGAGATTAAAGTTTTAAACTCCTCCCAAAGACAGAATTGAAAATGATCGAACACATATTCTCACATCCATATGCTCAGTTCCCTGGCGCCAATTCAGTTACTATTATTAGACTATGCCATTGATTAGCTATGAAAATGCCATTACACAAGACAAGTTAATGGGTAACCATGAAAATGTGTTGTTACGATAATGAGCTTTTGGATTTCTATACATGAGAAGTATATACAGTCCTAATAACATAGTTTGAAATTTGTAACAATTGAAGTTAAGTGAGATATTTATAATTATGGGAAATAATTATCTCATGTCGCATGAGATAATTATCTCATGCAACAGAGGCAAAATAGTGGGATTCACTATTTTTTATTTTTTTGAAAAAGTAGTGGACCCCACAATTTTATCTCTGTTGCATGAGATAATTATCTCATGCAACATGAGATTAATAGATCCCTTAAATTATATGTATACATTATGGGTTTAATGTCTCTCATATTGTAGGAGATAAAATTATCTCTTACACATATAAAAATATACGAGATCTATATTTTCTTTTTCTCTCTATTCTCTTTAATTACATGATTCTACATGAATCCCACATACTTTTATATGTGTGTAGAAGATAATTTTATGTCCTACACATAAGAAACATTAAACTCATACATTATATATCAACAAATTAAATGTTAAATAAGTCACATTCTAATAGAAAAAACAAAATTCAAATCATAGATAAGACAATCAATTATTGATAGTGCGTCATGTAATTGGGATACTGCTTTAGGGGTTAGTGTCCTATTTTTATTTTTATTTTAAAAAAACTACAAATTATGTATTTAATGTTGGAAATTCACAATCACACAAATCTCAAATGAAAAGAGAAAGAGAGAGAAAGAGAATAGACACCGTGATTTATCCTAGTTTACTCAAATTAGGCTACGTTCAGCTTGTCTGTACTATATTCACCTCACTGTCACTCGTTACAAGTCACTCGGTTTACAAAGAGAATATAAATAAGATTAGAAAAAAATCCTAACAGCTGTTATTCGTGAACTCAAGCCCAAACTACTAACAAAAGGAAAATTTACAATAAATTAGAGACTCACAATAGTACCTAACCTCTATGGGCTTGGGGGTGCTGCCCACCTAGGATCTCAATTGCCTTTCTACTGACCCCGACAATAAAAACTCTCGTCAACATGTGAAGTATGAACCGTACCCAACATTTAATGTATGGATTAGGCAGTTGAGACTTTCCTAATTAGAGTTTGGGTGGACGCCAATGCTTCGGTTCAAAAAAGGATTGAAGTGTTTATTTATTTTAGAAAAGGATAATAATGGTGATTTAGCTTTCGTAATAATAATATTAGTGAAGTTGATCGCTGAAAATAATATATGAACTAAAGTTGTTGGAGCAGGTTAAAATTAGTTAGGTAATGGCGTAATGCCTTAAATCAATCTATCGCCAAAAATAAAAAATAAACAAACAAATATGTATTTCCATAAAAAGTTGGACAAGTATACTGTCAATTCTTTTCAATAATCCATACATATATATATATATATATTAAATAATGGAGAATGACTATAAAAAAATAAGGAAAATATTTATCTTTTTAAAGAATATAACTTTATGTCATTTTATATCTTAAGTGTTTATTTCCGTCAATTAAATGATTATAATTTATTGAGAGTTTTTAATTAATTAGTAAATTTGACCCAATAAATTATAATCGTTGATTGACAAAATTCAACGGTGAAAATATAAAACAACACAAAATTATATCCGAACAAACATTTTTCCTATAAATAATTACATCTTGCAAAAATGAATTATCCTCACCCCCGCAACTGAAATATCCCTTCCATCTACATTTTAACTAAATTGTCCATATTTTTTATTAAAATATTTTAACAAAATTTATTGTAGTTGCTAGATCTTTACGATATTTATTTATTTTATTATAAATTATATGAATTAGTAAGTATTCGTATGTTATATGAATATTTTTAAGCATAAACAAAATATATAAAATGTGTTAGAAAGAAAAGATTTAAAAAATACTTAAAATTATAAGATAAATATATATAATTATTAAACATGTAAAATGAAAGATTTTTTTAAAAAAAATATAAAGAAAAAATATATAATTAATTATAAAAAAATTAAAAAATTAGAATAACGTGTTTTATTTTTAAAAAGACTAAATTGAATAGTTCAACCACACTTTAAAAAAACATATTTTAATATAGGGTTTATCATCTATCATTTAACATGACCACAAAAAATTTCCTACACACACAACATTTTGTGGGGCCCGCAGCAAAAAAAAAAAAATTTTGGCACGCAAAACAAATTTCTATAACATAACACAATCACTTTTCCTACGACATAACTCTTATAAAATCCTTTAATATAATGGAAAAATAGTCAATTTTGATAAGATATATACCAAATATTAAAGACGAAAGAAAGATTGTGATTTTTATCTGTAAGGATAGAAGGGGGTCTGTTGTCTCCAATCACGTGATAGGATCAACTGGCCAAACCTCTTGATCTGACCCCTTCTCTCTAGTCTCTAGCTAGCTAATACTCTGTTGCTTGACAGCTATTTATGCTCCATTAGTATTAAATAATAATGATAAATTATTATTGCCATCCTTATTTGATTCATATATGATTATTTGTTTTTTTTATACTAACAAAAAAAAATATCATAAATTTCATATTACGAATCAATCTTTTCATGTGACATAATTTTATGCAAGATAGTTTTAATCATGTATAAACAAATACATGGCATTAAAAATGATAATTAAAATATTACAAATAGAAAAATTGAAAAATTAATGAAAATTAATTTATTTGCAAACATTAAAATTATATCACATCAGCTGATCAAGTTAATTAAGAAATGAAAGGATGATTCCTATTTCGTCTTTCGTGTGCTGTCTCCCTCTATCTGGTCTATACTCTATAGTGTCCAAAGAACCATGTGATTTGTAAGGATAGGCTTCATAACACTACTGCAAGCCTATTTGCGTAGCCCACAATGTCCACGATGTGACAATTCTGGCCTAAAGTTCGGGGACTGACTCTTTAAAGTGTGACACTGTGAGTTGAATAGCCCAATTTGTAGCCCAAAAGACGTACTCTTTTAGCTACGTGATTCAATGTCAGGGTCCCCTACCATCATTCTTTACTAAAATCGAAATTTACAACGAAATGATCTTTAAGGTAGTGTTTGATTGGGGAGAAGTTAAAATTTTGCACGCAAAGTGCATGTGGAAATTTGATGAAACCACGTTTGGGTGAAGCTTTTCGGTAGATTTGTCCATCAATTAGCTTTGCCTTGCAATTCAGGAAGACAAGTAAAAAATGGGTTTTGACACTGTTGAGGAAGCCGTCTAAACAGGTGGAATTAGTGTGAAAAATCGGATAAATGAAAAAAGTGATGAAAGATATGACACATATACCTCTCTTCTTATGCCGATGCTTGGCAACTGCAACCACAAATCAGACCACACAAATCTCATCAAACAATTCACAACACATAGGCAACAACTTCACGATCGAATTTATAACTCAAAACAGTTCAGAAACAAAATAGTAAACATTCAGGAGGAAGGATATTCTTACTACCAAAATTTTCTACTACTAACTTACTACCTATCTAATCACCATTGAATCAAAGAGAGAGAATGCTAAAAAGTTTTTGAAAAAAGAGAAAATGTTGATCCAATGGTGATTTGATAGGTAGTGAGTTGGTAGTAGAAGATTTTAGTAGTAAGAATATCTCTCCTCAACATTCAGATCTATGCAAACTCAAAAACATGAAAGTAAAGTAGCGCAGTAAACTTCGTTAAGCTATCAAGCGAAACCATGACGGAACACTCGATTTGGAAAATCAGAATCGAGCAAAGCATAACTGTAAATTAATGGCTTTTTGACCCTTATAACCCTTTAGTATAATTAATTACCAAACTGACCTTCGTTATAAACTATTTCGAAAATTTAACCTCCCAAAAAACA